AATGGCCAAAAAAATTATCTTAAAAAAAAACTCTTAAGCACTGAATTTATTCTGAATCAGCTGGAACCTCTTCTGTGTTTATGATTAATCCGACCTTGTAACTGTTAATGGGATCACTTCCCCAAAATGGTAAAAGAGGAAGGAGAATAAACTCAGGTGCATACACACAAACACACATGCTGGAATCAACTATTATTTTATTGATAATCACAAAAATAAACACTCGACACTTTTATGTCGTGGTGAGCCACGACATAAAACAACATAAAATAAACTAGCACAAAGCTAAAGCTAACTAACAAACAAAACATTAACACAAAAAGCACTATCAAAGTGGTAACCAGGCAGCTACTGAGGAACTAAAACAAGATTTTGAAAAAGACTAAAGCTTACCACAACACGAAAAGCCACATGAACTACTACAGCAATTTCAAACAATGAACCCGCACAGGGGAGAGGGAACAAGGAAAAAAGGACAAGAGGAGCAAAAAAAGAAAAAGACAAGAGGAGCAAGTGGATTACATGTGGGGTAATTAGCAAAGACACAGAATGAAGACACACACAGGAGAAGTGGCCAGAATAAAAGGTACAAGAGACGAAACTCAGACAAAGAGGAAGGAGCAGACAGTAAGCTCCCTGAACATAGAGAAGACTACAAAATACAAGACTAGGAAGAAGGACGAAAAAAAGGAACAGCGAACTAGAGGAAGAATCTAACAGAAACAAACTGCTTGATGTGTTTTACCCCCGATCTGTTAGTCGCTTTGGATAAATGCATAAAAATAAATTGGATATATTGAAGTTGTTGCTATAGAGTGAGTTATTCTAAATCAAAATATAGATATTTATAATACAGAACCCGCACTATCAGGCCCGTGCATGCATTTCAATACACTACGTCATCAAGCCATCGTACGGTAATTTCACTCGAGGGCTGTTCGAAGCGGAATTAGCCCGAACCTTAACCCTACACAGGAAATTTAGCAGTGACAATCCAACACCAGTCAGATCATATACTGGTTTAAAAATCACCATTTCCCAAAGTGTCGGATTAACAATACACTGTGTTAAAAAGTACACGATGCCTGTAGATTATGGGAGTAAAATTATTTGGTTTTACATTTACACCTGAAAGTCATTACTTTCATCCAAAATCATTACTCGGCCCACAACAACTTCTGCCTCAAAGAGAGACAATGCCATTTTGTCTGGTGATGGAGAGGTGTAACACCCTATGCCTTAAGCGTTATTTTTCACACTTTGAAATGTCAATTTAGCAAAAAAAAAAAAAAAAATACAACACCAAATATCATCTGAGTGGTGTTGGCTTGACACTGCTAAATTTACTGTGTATAGTGCATTGAAATGCATGCAAGGTGTGGATCGTGTGGGCTGTCCGGATCCTGTACTGATACTGTTAGCGGTTTCTCTGCCAATGACAATACGGAAAGCTGTGGAGAACAAACCACTCGCGTTTAACCTGCAATACCCAGCAAGACCTGAAGAGAGTGGGAAAACTATGAATACACACCTATGAAGTTTTTATCTACAGTGTCCTCCATAATTATTGGCACCCCTGGTTAAAATGTGTTCTTTAGCTACAATTTTGTTGTAAATAACACAGGACCACAATGGAAACAAGATGATATTCCAACCTTTAATTCAAGTACATTTTATCAGTGGGAAAAAAATGAATCACACATTAAGAAATATTTATTTTTATATCAAATAATGGTGCCATGATTATTAGCAACCATTTTTAGCTTTCAGGCAGAGGCCACCAGATTTTGTTTAAAATGTTCTCCTACTTCAAATGTATTCATGATGCCATGCCCCTAATAATGTTCCCAAAGAATCACGATCCTCCCCCATACTTCACAATGGGCATGAGGGCATCCCACTTAGAATGTTTGTTACCAGAAAGCACATCTGAACGAGGAGCATGGTCCCAGTAGACACCGCAGTACCGCCTATGATTATTGTGATGGAGAAAAGTTTTTTCCTTGTGTTATAGTAAAATATACCTTCTCAATTGATAATAAACACTGGAGACCGTTTGAGAGAGAACACAGCAAATGCGGCTATTTATTACAAAGATTTAGTAGTCTCAAAACATTTCCTACACACGTGACTCTAACGTGGAAGAAGAACGTGGTTTAGCGCATATTAGGAGCCTATTAAAAATATAAACGAACGCTAGAAGAGAAAAGAAGAAAAAGAAGGAAAAAGAATATATAGAAATAGAAAAGAAGAGAAAGAGAGAAAGAAAGAAAAAGAGAGAAACAAAGAGACTCCTAAGAGAGTCAAGTCCCAGCGTGATCCTCGCACGAGGGCAAGAGAGAGCTCCAGCGAGTGCGCATGCGCTTTTCTAACCCGTCTTCTCAAGGGCGGGACTAAAGTATGACGTATGCTCTAAAAAGTTTCTCAAATTACATTTCTCAATATAACCACTAGATGGAGACATTACATTAAAAATTCCCATTACACTTGCATGTCTCCCAAAGAGCGTGTTGGCATGTAGACAGCGTCTGGGGTAATTTTGGAGACTTTGTGAAGCCCCAGGTGCTTCAATTGTTGCAGTTCTTTAACAGTGAGGATTGGAGAATTATTTATTTCTCTTACTTCTCTTTATTTTCATTTTTTTTAATGATTCCTCTCGTGGTAGATACGGGCAGGTGCAGGCGGGTGGCTATTTTCTTGTACCCATGGTTGACACACATCTGCCTTGAATGCAGAATTCCTTTGTATTTCCCATGTTGACGAGTGGATGGCTGTGTCCCAATCCAGAAGGGTGCATCCTCCCAAGTGCGCATTTTAAGGCCACTTATGTCACAAGGTTGCGCCATGGTCATCTCATTTCAGCAAAAATGCAAGTCCTTAAAATGCACCCTTGAAATGCGTCCTACTTTCCCCTGAATTCCGAGGATGCATCGCGACTATCCTTCGTGGCCTCAGATATCCCACAATGCTTTTGCAGTTGGGTTTTTTTTTTCATTAGAATCAACACAAAACACACTTGAATTTGTATTTACGTGTAAGTAATGCATTTTTGTTTTTGTTTTTTTTTTTAAATAAAAGAACAGTATATTCAAGCATTAAATGCTGGTAGTGATAGGCGAATTGTAAAACATTTTTATTTTTAACATTTATTGTAAACATTATCACACGCAGCCAAATTAATGTTAACTAAGTATTGGTGGATGCCATTATGTTTTAAGAAGCAGACGAAGGAGTTTATAAAACTTATGAAATCAGAATGAAGCTAGAACGTCATACTGGTTTAAATTACACACAACATAAGAAAATAGAAAATAATTCCTAGAGGGAAATGTGACCAATGCAAAATACAGAGCATGTTTTAATACATTGTATCCAAAATAAAAAACAACAAAAAGAAAGAAATAGAACAATTAAAGATAAAACCTAGAAAAAAATTAGGCAATGAAAAAACTTACAGTAATGGCCTCTGTGTCACGGCATATTTATACCCCAGGGAAACAGGAAGTGATAAACTCCTAATTAAATGTTCCTAGTTACTCTGACAAATTCTGTAAACTACTGCAGAAATGACAGAAATACTAAGGAATGGTTAGGGGTTGCAATAATTGTGGAACAGGAAATTTTATAAACATTTATTTTTATTCCCCTTAAAATTCCCTTTATACTCACGTTATATTTTTCTACGTATTTCAGTGTGAAAATATGCTTCTGAATTTATTTCAAGGCTTTTAACACATCTTATCCAGGTGGGCCAATATTAAGGAGTGCACTGTAATTCACACAGATAACTCTCACGTAACTTTCCATCTCTCTTTTGTTTTCATCTTGTTACAATTTATTGAAATTTTTTTCCAAAAGTTCCACTCAACTCATACATTAATGTGAAGTTTAGAAACAGGATTGATGAATAAACCAAAGTTCACAAACAGTTCATTAATCCATTTGGTTTGGCGAGCAGCGGGAGATAACCAGCATCTTTCCAGCATCTCACTTTCTCATCTTTTTAACATTTTCCTAGAGTGTCTGTCATCGGATGCCTTCTACTAAATGATCATCACTCAATATAGTCAACTAGAATATCTCTATTCAGTAAAATATAACTTACCAGCCACCACGATGGAATCCAAAATCACCCCCTGGCCCTTTTTAGCTGGTGATCAACTAATCAGTAAGCAATCGCTCTGAAGTTGAAAGTACGGCCCTAACACGACAAGGTCCTGCAGTCATGCTTCCTATGAGTCTTAACATTCATTTGTTGGCATCCCCACTCACTTTGAGATAATACAATACAACAAGGCTGTCCTTTGGTCCAGAAGAAAAACAACTGAAGGATAGAAGCTGGCATCAGTCTCATGAGTTTAGGCTTCATTAAACACACAGCTAGCAAATCGTCAATTCCGTTTTGCATTAAGTCCACTATCCTTCAGGGTTATCTTCTGAAAGGACACATCTCTCTGCTAACACAAGTTGCTCCTGACCTCATGCTGGTTCTCCAAGCTCATGAAAGTAAGGCATCTCCTAAGTTTGTAGTGATATGTGAGGACTCTACAAACTGTAATCTAGTGCCAGGCCCCTTATATCACACACTTTGACATTTTCTTTCATGGGAAATCCCCCCTCCCCCCTCTCTCAATGATCTGTAAGCTTCAACACACCGAGGCTTGATAATCGACTCAATTAAAAAGGTTCAATTCTCACAGCCAATTGATTCAAGTTATAACATTATCATTAGCACTTCAACTCTAGCAATTACAGGGCATTAACTGGCAGGAGCAAGAATAATGAAGAACCTAGATGAAGTGACTGTACAAATGGACATTCGTTGTTATAACTAGCCTTGAATAAATATAACATACAACTCGTCTCAGCTGCTGTGTTTAACAGAATATTTACTTCTGTGAGAAACTATGTTATATAAACTTTATTACGTACATCTTGCTAGTACCAAGACTTGCTAGACTTACATTTGAAAGAATTAACACTTTTTTTTTGTCAGTGCCTGCATTCCCTGGGATTAGAACCGACGACCTTTGCGTTGTTAGTGAAATGGTCTACCAACTGAGCACCAGGAAAGCTAATCTTGCCTTCAGAACTGCCTTAATCCTTCATGGCATAGATTCTTTAAGGTACTGGAAACATTCCTCAGTGAGTTTGGTCATCATTGACATGATAGCATTGACCATGCTCAATTGGTACTAATGGGCACAAAGGGTGGCAAGTAAATATCCCCCACACCATTACACCAAACAGTTGATACAAAACAGGATGGATCCATGCTTTCAAGTTGTTGCTGCTAAATTCTGACCCGAATGTCGCAGCAGAAATCGAGACTCACCAGATCAGGCACATTTCCCAATTTTGGTGAACCTGTGCAAACTCTAGCCTGAGTTTCCTGTTCTTAGCTGGCATGAGTAGTACCCATTTGCCTCAAGGTCTGATGCATCGGCTGTTCAGAGATGCTGAACACCTCGAGTGTAATGAGTGGTTATTCAAGGTGGTGTTGCCTTTCTACCAGCTCGAACCAGTCTGGACATATTCCTCTGACCTCTGGTATTGCCGAATTTTTTCGTTTTCTGTGCCAAGATTTTTCCGCAACTTAAAAATGGTCTTAACAATGAAGATGTGTATAGGTCTCCACTTAAGCTCCAATTTTGGGGTGTGTTTGGTGGTGGGCAGGAGGCTGTAGATGCTAAATAGCTGCCACATCCTGTCAGACTACCAGGTCAGGTTTTAAAACATTTTTGGTTTTAAACAAACATTAGTTACGACACAATTTGCAGATAATTCAAATTTAAATGTAAAAAAATCTTTCAGTTTTACAGTTTTTCATCTTTCAGTTTAATTTTACAGGCCCCTGAGTCATTATAGTGGTGAAAAGAAGGGATAACCCTTAGAAGTACACTACCTGTGATATGGCTTGTGTTTTTCAAAATTCTGGAAGAAAAAAAGTGCATGGAAGAGTGTATAAGGTTTAGGAGAGGTTTGACTGTTTTTCTTTTCTTGCTATTCACTTTGTTTTTTATTTTGTCTTTGCTTCATGGGATTTATGAATGTTCACTTTGTCTCAACACTTTAGATTTTTAATATGAAACATAGAATTTCCTGAGCCTCTCTGCCGATGGTGGAGGGGAAACACAAAAGAACAGGTATGTACTTTTTAAGTTAAGTTAATTTTAAACTTAAATGATCATGACTGTGATGGACTGGCGACCTATCCAGGGGGGTACCTCCGCCTCTCGCCTGATGTGACCAGCAGGACCCTGTGACCCCAAAAGGGAATAAGCGCGCAGGAAAATGAATGAATGAATAATCATGCTTTGTTTTGTTTTGTCTATTTGTTTTTTCCACAGTGTAATCTTAAAGCCTGCAAGAACATTATTACGTTAGCTCAGATTTTTCTGCAATTTTTTGTTTACTGTTTTTTTTTTTTTTGGCGGGGTAGAGAACAACCTGAAACCCTCCAGTGCCATCGCCTCTCGATAGCCACTTTGTTCCTATAAGCACCACAACTTATCGCTATTTAGGATATGTATACACTCAAGAATTGGTAAAATTACCCTTATTTTCAAACCACAATCAGGCGTAAAGTTTCACAAGAATTTACAGGCATGTTTAGGCCCTCAAAATGTACCAAAAGTCACAAAACAATAATGCTCTGAGCAATTTCAATAGGGTTCTACACACCTTCTGTGCTCTGCCCTAATTAACCATAATGATAAAAAAAAAAAGTTGCGCACAGAACAAGTTCTGCGTTCATTGAACTGCATTATCCATCTGTTTTCCTCCACAGCCTAAACAGATGTGAGGTTTTTGTGGGTGTTCCGAGTATTGCAAACTTATACATGGCACGGTAGCTGCTAATAGGGACATATACACCACTTATTAATTAATTAATTTCTGAGTTTAAACTTGTTGGTTTACTGTAAAGCTGCTTTGAGACAATGTCTGTTGTGAAAAGCGCTATACAAATGAACGAACTTGAACTAATAGTAGTGGTGAAAGAATTTTTAATCTTTTCCGTTCTCTCTGAAAGAAATTTGCATTCTCTCTGAAATAAGCAATATTTGTGAGGTAACACAAATGATTAAACGAATTAGTTTTTCACCCACTCTAATTTTATTTCTCTTATCCTAATATTTGTCACTACCATTATGACCCTTTGGGGGCACTATAGTTTTAAGACACGTGTGATTAATTAATAAAAATATCTATTTTTTCAACCTACAAAGTTAATAATCAGATGCCTAAAAATGTTTAGACATCCCATTTTCTTTTTAATCTTTATAAATCAAGTATAACTACACCATAACTATTATTAACACTAAAGCCTGTGCCTCGTGTATACCCAACAAATGTCAACAACCACTACAAGATGCTTCATTTGTTTGCACTATTTTTTTTTTATTTGCTTTATTGACATATTTATGTGGAAATATGAATGAATACTCTCCCAATGGAAATCTATCTTGGTTTTGTGTTTGATTTGTTTGTTGGATTTCTTGGGTGTCTACAGATCCAACCTCTGGCATGTGTTTGAATGGAGGGAGCCCTACAGAGGCACCTGACTCTCTCAGACAAAGCGCTGAGAGCTGCAGATGAATTTCTGTCAGTCTGGGAAGACGAGTATCTTTAAATCCGCAGGCTCTCTTGCTAATTTTTTTGTGAAACAATGACATTAGTTTTGTCTGCACCTTTGCTTCAGGTGTCAGTGTTGTGACATTGAGGGCTTGCGATGTTACGATTGCCCTGAAGCAGTAGCATTGGCTCTTTTGAAGGCTGTCTGTCATTCACAATGTTATTATTTCCACATACCTTTACTAAAAACACCCAAGTGGTAAGAAACACAAGCCTCGTGGCTTTTATAGAACTATTCAGCAATAGGAGGTGGATAAAGACTGACTATACAACTAAATTCAGTTAGTAAAAAACCAGAAATGATCTTGCAGATTAAATCAACATAAACAACGATTGAGTTATTTCTGAATCTGTGCTCTCATAACTGTCTGTCTGTCCCTCACTGCACTTAATTGTTCTTTCAAAGCTACTCTTCACTACTGAGCTGATGCCAGAGCGTCCCATTCTCTAGGCAACACTGCCTCTCTGTGTGAGACAACTAGAAGCACAACCGTTTGATTCCGACAGTTCGATTCCAAATAAGCATAACATCTGTGAATACACCAAGTGCAAAACAACACGGTGCAGTCAAATTTATGTTGTTTGTTTGAATTTAACAACCCCCCTTCCCCCAAAAAATGCACATTTTTATAAGTAAATTATTTTCTTTGAAGTATCCAAAATAACATGCCTGAGGTTGACAACTTGCACAAAGAAAGATGCTCATATCGCCTATTTCCGGTCATACCTGAATCCTTCTAAATTAGACTTTAAAATGTGAGCAAAACTATCAGTTTTTGCATTTCAGAGATGGCAGAACAAGAGCACAGAATGCTGTCGTGTTCCACTGTGTACGGTATCTTTGAAATTCATTGGAACTTTAAGTGTTTGCAGTTTTCCTGCCGATGTTTACATCCATAAACATCTAATCAGCTTATTAAACTTCAGAGGATCATTTATTTACATAAACAGATTTTTATAGTTCGGTGTATTTATAAGTATAAATTGTTATAACATTATAAAAATTTTCATATTTAGAACCATTTTATAATAAATAAAAGCCCTCAAAAATTTTCCAGCTCATTCATAATCACAAGCAGTGGTGTAAAGAGTGCTGAAACATTAAAAGTACTCTATTAAAAGTACCATTTCTTTCCAAAACGTAAAGAAAGTTGAGTACAAGTATCTGTTCTAAAAATGACTCAAAGTACGAGTTAAAAGTAGCTCTTGTAAGACTAATAAAGGAAGAGGTAGAGAAGAGGAATAGAGAAGAGGTAGAGAGAGAGAAGTAAGAAACAGACAGAAAGGAGAGCATGAAAGAAAAGAGGTATAATAGATAGCATGAAGAGAGAGAGAGTGAGCAGGAGGAAATGAGAGGAGAGAAAAATGAAAGGAGAGAAAGAGTGAAATAGAAAAGAAAGTGTGACAGAGACAGAAAGTGAGAGAACGAGAATGAAAAAGAGAGAGTGAAAGTAAAGAGAGCAAAGGGAAAAGAAGAGTGAAAGATATAGAAAAGGGGAGAAAAAAAGAGAGGAGTAAAAGCAAAATAAAGAGAATGGCAGATTTCTTCCAGCACAACAATGGGCAGTGAGAAAGGAAATGTAGCAGAATACTGCCCAGAGCATTAATCATCATTAGACATGATTTCTACTAAAAGTGACTCGCCCATAAAGTTAGAAAACTTACAGCACAGTATAGGATTGCAGAGTGTTGCTGGCTCAGACGGGGTTATTCCATTTAATGTAAGATTAGGTTTGAGTGTTGCACACATATAAACTGACCTGTAACCGTGCTGACGTGTGCGAACATCTATCATTGTGCCTAATTAAAAGAATAGACGCTAAGCTAACAGTCATGGCATTGAACATAGGCATCAAACTATTTTTACTACCATAACTATGTTTGTACAGTTTACTCGGGGGAGTCATGTATGTTTTTTAATAACTTTTTATAAAAAATCCAAAAAATAGAGAGTGTAGAACACAGTCAATGCTACTCCGGAAATAACTGAAGCGTAATCTGTAGATCGTGGAAGCAGTTGTCCATTGGCTACTCCTTAATTTAAAGTGCCCCGTTATAGATTTTTGAAAAGCAACCTTCATAAAGTGAGTAACATGACTCATAAGGCCTCTGCACAGCGATCTGAATTGAGATTCACACAGATCTACGGATAGTTTCTTAGCAGGGTGCTCCCTGCCTGAAGATGGCGTTTGCTGTACAACTGAGGCACTCTGCACCACACAGAGAAACAGAAACAGGAAAGTCCCTATTAACATGTTGGATGAGTGCCACCGAGCGGCTCTTTTACATCTTTCTCGCTTCCCCAAAAGAGGCAGCTTTCATTGGTCAAAAAACAGATCTAATGTGGCAGTGCGAAAATCTTTATCATAGACATAAATGTTGTTGTTTTTTTTATAGTTAATGAGCTAACCCTGTTTGGAAGACCATACAAATAGAAAGC